TAAGTAGTGTTTTTAATTCTTCCATGAGAAAATATTCCCAGAAGGAACAATTATTCGTTCCTTGCTGTTTCTCTAATGTAGTACAAGTGTATTGACAGATTTGCAAAAAAACAGATGAATCCGGGGTTCTGGAATTTTAAATGCTATAACGAACCTCTGCATTCTTAGCGGATTCTAACTTCTTGGCGCCTTGCAGTTGCTCGATGATTTCTTTTTGCTCCCGAATCATACTTTTTTGGTTTGCCGCCTCCTTTTTTACCGCAGCGAGTTCCTCCTGCAGTCTGGAAATGAAAAAATGTAGCTATGATTTGGTGAAACGAAAACTTAGGACGGAAATTTGAAAATGAAATCGTTTCGACTATACTCCAGCTACTAAAGCTTCAAGTTTATTGAACCAGTGCACACAAATACAAGTGTCTGAGTTGGTCGTGGTTTACACTGCAAGACGTCTGGCCACATTTTTGCGGTAAAATGGCCGCTGGTCATTGTGTTGCTCCCAGGGTCATTTGGACAGACTATGAAAAATACATTTACAAAGCTGATACTACTAAGCGGCCAGTCACATCATTAGAGTCGTACCTCTGGTTACGTTTAGATACGAAAAATTAAAATCAAGCAATATGTTATTTTCACGTGATTTGCGTGAGTTACAGATTTGAAATTTTAGAAAAATTAGAAAATTTGGCTTCTTTTTGTCCGATAAATCTTTTTTGACCTGTAAAATTTTACGACCTAATTTGAAGAAGCTTCTTCTCCGTATAACAAACAGAAGAAAAATTTGGATTAAGTAAGCTGAACACGTTTTCGAAAAGAAAGAAAATTACCGTGTGATGGTTGCTTCAGATGCATCGGCACTGTCCGGGACATAGCTTCGCTCGATCTGAGATAACGCCTCGGCTCGGATGGTTTCGCATGCTTGCTGCAGCTCCTGAAACAAATGAAGCCTTGAGATTCTCCACAAATGACAGAAGTGATTCGTTTTTCAAGCCGAAGAAACTACGTTCCTTATGGACACTTATATGAAAAAACTCGCCGATAATCACTCTGAAATTTTACCTCCATTTATAACGAAAATTAGACCGATCAATCAGGGCATAAGCTTGCAGTTGGCAAAATCCTGGAAAATTACTTGAAAAAGCGGTCCCTGGGAAAGCGGTCCCTGGGATATCAGATCCCAAAGGGGTATCAGAATCCTTTCTTATTCTTTCCTCTTTCTAACTGCCTTTCCTAATTCTATTTTACATACAGCCGAGGGGTGAAAGACGGTATATTATTAATGAAATTTGTTACTATTTTTTCAGCTCACACAGTTCCTTCTAATTCTTTTTTTCATTCTATTTCCCTCTCTGTTTCCATTCTTCTACTTTGTTGATACTTTTTAAGCAACTTTGGTGCCAGCATCGCTCCAAGACATTCAGCAACATCGGGAAAAGCCTAAAAAAACTTCGGAAAAGCTTATCTTCGAACAAACCTTGTTGCGCGCATTAAGAGTTGCAATTCGTTGCTTCAGCTTTCGAATTTCCATTCGCATTACCATCACTGTGGATTCTTCTTTCCGCAATGTTTCCATCAAAACTTCTTCCCTCGCATCGCTTAATTCTATAGCTATCGAGCGTGTCCGTTCTGGTGGTGGAGTCTGTAGACGTAGAGGTCCCGGAATAACAATCGCCTTCGTAGATTCTTCCTCGCTCTTCTCCACTACCTCACTTTCTGAACTGCTGCTAATGCTTGGTTGATCTGAACTCTTTTCTTTATCCATTTTCTCCTCATCAGCGTCTGTTTGCGTCGCTGCATCCAGCACGGCACTTGCTTGTTTCTGGATCCTAACCATTTTATCAGTGAGTTCTCGATTTACTTTTATGAAATGCTCAATTTCGTTTTTCAGTTTAATAATTTCCAGCTCCTTTGTTTCGGCGTCAGCGCCAGCATCTTGCTGCAGTATCTCAGTGGAAGTTCGCAGTTTTCGCATTTCTGGATTCTCGGCAGCCAGTA